CTCTCTATTGTCAATTGTTTAAATGTTTGGCGGGGTTGTTTGTTTCTCTGAGTTCTAGGTTAAGAAAAAACCAGACACGTCTCTCCTCCAAGAGACTTCTTCAGTCTGAGAGTTTCAGGCAAAATTCAGGCTTTTAAGCCCTGCCTCCGTGTGACTGATACTCACATCACATGGCTATCGTTGACACCTAATCAACACTTACTCCTCTCTCAAACCAACGTTCCTCATCCTCATCTCTGAAAGAGTGACCGCTGGCCTGTAAATGAGTGAAAACTGCAGAGTTCTGGCCATTAGATGTAGCTCGTCTGTGTTGGGACATTCTTTTGAACAGTGGTTGATAGTTCAAAAGCTGATAGAGAGGAACGTTGGTTTGAGAGAGGAGTAAAAGCAGCCATTTTTGTGAAGAAAGACCGTCCATCATTAAACAGAGGTGGAGGCCTCCGTTTTCAGCTGTCCCCCTCCTACAGCGCGGCCATTGCCAGTATCACTCCACCCCGTTAACAGTAAGTGTTAATTAGGTGTCAACGATAGCCATGTGATGTGAGTATCAGTCACACGGAGGCAGGGCTTAAAAGCCTGAATTTTGCCTGAAACTCTCAGACTGAAGAAGTCTCTTGGAGGAGAGATGAAATGTTTCATTAGAGAAGAACCCGTCCAGAAGACCTACACAATTTTTTTCTTTTTGAGCCTTATTAACAGTGGCGGGTACCAGTCCGCTAAATCGCAAATCTGCTAATTGCGGCCATAAATATTTTGGTTGCGCTTTTGCAGTCTTACTAATTTTTATAATTCATAAGCGGATTTGCGCTTTTTAAAATTAAAATGCAATACTGCTAATAACTAATTATCTACCAGTCATCATTATCTTGAACAGTGGAAGGTATGACTGTCAATGAATCACAACACACGTGATCTATCTAACAGCACCCCTCCCAGATAAACACACTTATTGAGAAGGTATACATACATGCTGACTGTTGCTTTCGGTCACTGTTCTCATTTCCCACAATGCTTTGCGTCTGCTTACGTAGCAGGAAGGCAATGTTTAGAACTCCCTTTCCCAGCAAAAACAGTTAACGTTTGTAATCCATACTAAAACTTTGTATGTATTTATTTATTTTACTTTACAATCGGAGTTCCTTTTTTAAAAAAAAAAATAAAGTTTAAACGCTGGAGCTCAATACTTGATGTAATTGGCCGAAGCAACAGGATTAGAGACGCAGAAGTGATTTTAAGATGTTATGCTGATGAAGACTGACATCTAGTGGTCAACTGGAGCAACTGCATGGAAAACTTTCGTCACAAATCAAATCCGTCATGTACCCAGAATGCATCACTTCAGTTTTCCAATAAACAGTTTTAAAATTACTTTATTGATGCTTCTTTAATGGAAAAATCTACAATAAACAAAAGAAAAAGACAAAGAAGCAGCTGAACTAGAAATCCTCAACAACTTTTTTAATTTTTACACCAGGAGCTGAAGGTCTGTTTCATGAAATCACATCCCCAGCATTCGGTCCTTGTAGGATTAAGCTGTACAATAGATCATACAACACTAGTTGGCAGTGTTGTACATATATTGTACATGAATAGTTGTTAGCTGGTAAGTGTCAAATGAACTTGTGCTTTAAAATTAGCTTCCACTAGTTTTTCTATGGCATAAGTGTTTTTGAAGTTGTAGAGCTAGATATTTTCATAAGGGCTTTAGAAATTGCGGAGCAAATTTTTAGGTTAGCACTGCCCACCACTGCTTATTAACGCAAGATTGAGTTACCTCTTTCTAGTGCTTACTAGCTGTGGGAGAAACAGTGTTTACTTTGTTTTTTATGCACGTTTTAAAGTATTGCATTAGAAAAGGTGGATGAAAACTGCAAAATTCACAAAAGCTTTCTCAATTTCGCAAAATAAATTAACATTTTTATGTTCACTTGAGGTGTGACATCAATCGGGAACTGTCAAGAGGCGAGTGGAACTGAGAACCAGACTTAAAAAGGTAAGTGAAGTTTATTTACAGGCGCTGGTGGATCCAAAAATCTGAAAGTGTGGGAAGTCACAAAGGTGAGTCCAGGCTTTAGATTTAGACTTGAGAAAAAAGTGATGATTGAAAATGTTTCTTTTCTGCTACAGGTTTTCCAGGAGGAGTCAGCACAGAAGAGAGGAGTGACCAGCAGGTGAGTGATTCTTCCGCAGAGTGACCAGAGGATTTGAACACAGGTAAGAGAACAGGTGAGTGGCTGTGGGTAACTGTCACTGGCAAGGTACAACATCCTTCCAGAAGGTGAGCATGGGCAGGCAAACACTGGCAGAACCCTTGAAAAACACACAGGTGAGGACAAGTAACTCATAAACAATAATGAACTGAGTGGCTGCAAAACACTAAATTTCACAAGGTGGTTTTTGAAATATCCGAAAAAGAGTTAATGCGCAGAAGGGGAGATGGAAACACATTTGCAGGATAGGTTCTGATGTAACAAACATTTACCTCAATCAGCTGTTCCTGCTGTCCAATAGTTGTAGGGGCTGCAGCTGGACTTGTTCTCCCACTGCCTACGTCTTCCCAGACGTTCCCATAACGTGAAGAGAATTGCATTTTTTTTCTACGTCTCCAGACAGCATGTAAACTTCACCCTTTCTAGGTTATATGACCTCTGCCTGTTGAATGATCTGAAGCGCTCTCAGAGCAGAAGCCGACTATTACATTAGTAAGGTGGACTTATGAGCGAACTAACATCCACGTCTTTTTTATTTTATCCCTGTGAGAACCAATTAAAAACAGAACGAAAAACATACAATTATTTCTTCCAAAAACTTCTGTGTGGAGAAAAACAACTACAGTTTGGTCTGCAAAGAAATATTCCCTGCGACACAATATTTTAGTTATGCACAACGTAGCTATACAGGAGGGAGAAAATGAGGATTTATCCTCTGTCTGCTTGCTTTAAAATGCTATATTTCATTTATTTTCCAGAATTATTTGATTATTTGGCCAAAACAAAATAAATATTTTACATGCCCAGTCAAGCAGGCAGGCAGAGGGACACATCCACCTGTCATACATGTTTTACCTGCCTCAGGCAGTCCTATGTGCCGAATCCTGTCGTTCAAATGCAACATATGTTAACATCAGGGTCGTTTTCACAGGCTTGAACTAAAAATTCATTCAACTTAACCTTCCTCAGGTACCTTTTCTCTCCCGACAGCAGCGCACAGCAGCCAGCTTTGCAGCCAGCCAGGCAAGAACTGGCGGTGTCATTTTTCAAAATAAATTTTAATGTTTCATGATATTTAAATACATTTCAAACTCTGATTGTGGTTAGTAGGTGCACAAATATAGGATATACATATATATGATGTGCTTTACATTGTTTTAATATATTATAAAAATAACTTCATTCTGAAGTTGTGGCAGCTGTAAGGAAAGGAGCTTAAGGTGAATTAAGCTTCTCCCACATCTCTCATACACAAGGTTATGAGGAAACTTTTACCAAGGTATTTCTCATTACTTGTTAATATCTTGACTGTGCAAAGTGAAAAGTGACACAATAAGTGAACGTTCAGACGAGTTCAAGTTGATTCATAAAAGACTATGCAATCATTT